AATCAACAAACCACGCAGTTCTCCCTTTTCACCAGGTGGGGGCGCTCCTGCATCTTCCTAAATAGGATTTTACTATTTACCACTCAGCGACAATCCCACCACCCCAACGCCCATTTGCATGGAAAATAGTCAAGTGGATGACAGTAGCTGGAGTGCAGCTTGGGCATTGGTATTTTAAAAAAAAACCCTAAGTGCTTCTAAGGGGTGAGAATTGCTGCTGGGAGTTAGATATTTAGAACTAGCTATTATGGAGAAATTAGTGAAAATTGTTTTCTCATTAAATTTAATGCATGATTCCCTAGAGTATAAACAGGGTGACATCAATAGGTGCATTGCTCCTCTATGATTGTTGTACCCATGGCTTGAAAACCACTCAAACGTGGTTGCTTAACTGCACTGTCTTAGATACTTCATTGTTGAGACAAAATACCTGACACCTAAAGTTAAAGGAGGAAAAGTTTATTTCGGCTCACAGTTTGTAGAAATTTCAGTTCATAGTTGGCTGGCTCCAAGGCAAGGTGGCATGGCAGAGGGGCATTACAGAGGAGAAACAATTCATGGTAGGCAGAAGGCAGAAAGCAACAAAGCAACGAAGAAGAAACAGCAGAAATGGCAGCTGCAACAGACTTCTTTCTGTCCCATTTTATACCTTCCAGTGGCATCTTTTGGATGGTACCACTCACACCCGGGATGGGACATCCTTAATCCCAGCATCACACACTGTATACCCAGCCACATCTGAAAAGCCCCTCCTATGACCCCCTAAGGTTTTGGGGGGAAATATCTAAACACAAACCATAACACAGTGTGTCCTAACTTTGTCTGACACTGGCTGGCTGTTTTTTCCGTCTTTCTCTGTCAATGGTCTGTTTGGGTACCACCATCATGATCTCCTACTCCATGTTTCCTGTGATGCTGTGCTAGTGCTGGTGTCCCTTTGCTCCCTCTGCCTCTGCCTTCTAACATGGACTCACTTTCTCCCCAGCCCTGCCCAGGCTTCCCTGAAAGACTCCAGGCTCTGCTGGCCAGCACAGATGTTTCCCACATCTGGCCCTTCTCCCCAGTGTGAACTCCTTTAATAACAGGCAGCTCCAGTGCCCCCTCTGGTCCTGGCCACTCTGCATGGAGCCAGAACACAGCCTCTGTGTCCTGGATGTTTTACATCAGCTAGGAAAATGTTGATGCATGTCTGCCTGGCAGAACCAGCACGCCCTCGGGATACTCCAGTAGGATCCTGTCTCTGGGTGAACACGGCCTGAGTGTGCTGGGTCAGCTGTAAGCATAGAGTGGCGGCCCTGGGGGTTTACACAGGACAGCAGTGCAGCAGAAAAGACCTCTGGGACCTGAGTGACAGGCGGGACTGGTAGCTCTGCTCCTTACTGTGACCCCAGCAAGCACAGTTGTCTTTGGCCTCAGCTTCCTGAGCTGTAGGTGGAGAGGACGGGAGGCTGGGCCTTCTGTACCTCAGTGAGCATGTGAAACATGGGGTCTGGATTCTGCCTGAGAGATGGAGGGGCCGCATCAGTGACACTCGTGCCAGGTAGGAGGGCTCTGGACAACCCTGGGGTCTCTCACTCTACAGTTGCATGCTCCCGGTAGGTGACCTCTAAAGTCCTGCTGGCCTTGGCCAATGTCTCTTCCTTCATCCTCTTGGCCACTCGGGTTCATGGGAACAAGATGCCCGCATCCATGGTTTGGTGAAGCCCTCTTTCTGAACTCATGCTCATCCTTCAAACCCTGGTCTTCCTGCCCTCCTTCCTCTGCTCCTAAGTAGGAGCTTTCTCTTTGTCCCTTTGGCCAACCTTGTCACCTACAGCAGTTTCTACCCCCAGAGTGTTTCCTTGAACACCTGGCTAGATCCTGAGTGGCCTGCGTCCCTCCCAGCCCAGCAGCAGTCTGTGCAGCACCAAGGATCATGTGCTGGAATCAGCCCATCAATATCCATGTGGGAAACTGCCAAGTGGTACTTTAATTATGCACGCCAACAACATCCCATCTTGAAAGAGTCTTTATTATCCGTTATCTCTGCCATTAAAAGATGCACTACGGCGGATCTTTGGCAAACATCCAATTCTTTAGAGAAAAGCAACACAGAAGATAATTTTTAAAAAGATATCTTTTGATTTCAATACAGCTCACGTCATAATTTCAGCATCACCGCTATGTTGAAGACTTAATTCAACTGAAGTTAATGAAAGTAGTCTGACTGTGATCTAAGGGTTTCTTGCGAGGTCTGAAACAGATACAACTCTGGGGTCTTTTTCTTAAGAGAAAGAACTCAAAATTATGAATAACTCACAGGCTGTGTGGGTGGGTCTATTCATGTGACAGAACCAGCACCCTGAAGCTCAGGACTCTTGAGTGAATGAAGGACTTGCGAATCCTGCAGACTCCAGCACTTCCTGGCTCCACGAGAGGGCAGCATAGTATCAAGCTGGGAAGGCGATCGATACCTAAAGGAGGTTTGTGTCTCAGCAGATGTTTGCTCTTGTGCTTTGGATTGCATCCTGTGCTCTGTGAGGGAACCTTTCTGTACTTTTCTTTCAGGCAAGACAATCTGGCTTCCTTCCCCTGGATGCAAGTATCTTAGACACCTGCAACTCAATCAGTGCCGGTTTAAGAAAATCATGTGATGCTGCCTGCTCTTAAACCTTTAAATAAACTTTTCCCCTTCTGTTTTTTGGTACCTTTGAATTGCATGTACTATAAAACAAAAAGAACGTGTTCCACATAACCCCACAAGTGATTTTAATGAACTTTGGCTTTGCTAGAAGTTTTAAGCATATTAGATTTTATTTACATCGGTCTTCTACCCACAAGTATCTACACCTCCCCCACTCCCAAGTATTTGACAAAAGTTTCAAAAACTAACGTGTTTCATGTAGCAATTAAGGACATACCTGCTAGCACAAAGGGAAGTCTTGGTACTCAGTTTAATGACTTAACACAGTGTACCCAGAGAGACCTTTCTGTCCTTGTCCCACTCCTGAAATTGATTTGGAGATTTTTTAAAATCCCATTTGGATATTGGTGAATTTTTTATCCAAATTTTGGCCTGAAAGGCAAAGAACCAGTCACTGTATTTGATGTCAGCCTCTCAACTCAGTCTGCTGTGATGATGGTTGCAGGTGTTTTTACTCAAAGTGGTCCTCAGAATGTAAGGGCAGGCTTTTCTTACTTAGCTTTGGCACACCATAGCCAGTATGTAAAATGAGTGAGCAAAGTGAAGTCAAATATGGCACTTTACAAGGCTGTATGAAGGAATTAAGAAGGTAAAAGTCTTCAAAATTAGGCATTTCCCATTGCATCCTGTGGTTGAAAATGTGTAATAATGAGATTGTCACATTAGAAAACCAATATGCTAACAAGTGACTTCCAGCCCTCTTCCATCCTGCATAGGCGGTAAAGGCCGGTCCCCAAACCTCTATGCTCTAACTGCACATGTGCGGTTGGCGGCTGGTGGATGCATACTACAACCTGAGTCATCGTGTGGCTTCTGTGTAGCCTGCTGTGGGGACCTGAGTTACAACACAGAATGAATACAACCACTGGCAAGGTAGAGTTTTGTTTTCTCAAAACCAAAATTGGCGTGATAGCTAATGTAGGCATTCTTATTGCATGTCCAAATTTTACAAAGCAATTAACACCAGCCATGACTCTGGGAAGGATTTGCGAAACATCCCTGCCAGGAAACTTCTCAAAAACCTCTTGCATGAGAGAGATCAGTGGAGAGCGGCCATTTTCATCCTATTAATTTTTAAAAAAAGATTTCCTGAAAAACTACTAAATATTCCCGTGAGGAAAAATAAAGAGAACAAACATCTAAGAAGAGCGCACACGGCCAGTGCCCTCCGCCCCACAGTGATTGATGCCCCTGCCATTAGCAGGGTAGCTGCCCATTTCTTATCGTGATTGACAGGCTAATAAGGAACCCGGGGCTATCTTTTCAGCATGAACACACAACCTCACCAATTACTTATAAATTATTGCTAATCTGCCCCCAAAATAACAAGCAAGCATAAGGAATAAAAATATCTCCAAAAGAAATATCTGCTGAAGCAGCTCTCACTTCCGGTGCCTTAAAAGGTTCAGTTCAGAAAACTTGCCAGAATTTAGTCAATAGAATTTAGGCACTGAGGATTTTTTTTTTTTTTTAAAGAAAAACTTGTAGTTTATAATAGTTCATTGGTTCAATTAGGAGCGAAAAAGAAGGGAGTTTTGTAATGCAATTGTCCAGCAAAGGAAAATGCTTTAAATTGGGGGATTATGTGCGCAGACCACCTGTAGGGCATTCAGAGCCCTTTTCTATAATGCTTCAACCCACGCCTAGCTGCCTGCCGGCTGGCTAACAATGCCGGGAAAAGCTGTTTAAAAGGCTGTGCGCACTTGTGCCTCTGGTCTTCACTAACTGTTACAAGTCTTCCTCTCCCTCGCTCTCTCCTTTTTAAAGTAAAAGTCCCACAGCCCTTTAATGGAAGAACTTTAAGGCTCCACGGTGGCCAATTGGTCTGCAGCAAGAGGAGCTGGGCAGCGGGGAAAGAAACTTCAGACCATACAGCACATTTGGAGAGGAGAAAAGATCAAAGTTTTTCAAACTCAAAAGACCAAGTTCCCTACAGATTAACCCTATTCATTTAGCTCCACTTAAAGGAATGATGTGCTGAGCCACTGGGCAGACAGGTAAAAAGTTCAACAATTGCCAAAGCATTCTTCTGCTAATTCAACAGCCTTCTGCTCAAATAAATTAGCTTAGTCTTGACAGAGGAACAATAGCTTTTTCTCTAGGCAAAGAAGCACATTTGGTATACACAAGCATGGAAGGTTATTAAGATGTTAACCCGTTAGTTTAATCCATTAAAGAGCGCCTGCCCCACTACCAGATTGTCGAGTGACTTGCACGGCAGACCTATCTGGTTTAGAATATCAACTTCCACTCTCCAACAGCGATCAGTTCCTGAAAAACCAGGTGTTTTCAAAATCACAGACGCGAGATATGAATGTGGGGTTTTGAAACTTTTAGTGATATCATACACGATAAATAACAAGGCCTATGTGGAATTTCTATCTTTGCAAAAAGTCCCATTTACATACACTAAAGTGAGTTGGAATCCATGTATCAGCAAAGAGCTACCATTCGAACACCATCACTGGAGAAGGTGCAGAAACTCAGTTTTGATTTCAGTTCCACAGTGGTATTTACTTTGTTAACAGTTTGCGAACTAGAGGTTAACAGGTAATTTTCTCCATGCCTAAGGTCAGTGTACAGAATGACAAGCCAGAGAATGTCCATTTCCCCCATGCACCCTTGGCAAGCATGGCAAAGGTGGCAGCTTAGAAGAGGCGGGGGCGCGGGCAACGTTTAAATCATTTATCAAAAGTCATTTTATTGACAAAATAGAATACTTATATTTGTTCTTACAGGGGTAGCCTCTAAACTTTTTACAAAAAATGTACACAATGTATATCTTTGATATATACATATTTTACACATTTTTACAATTTAACAAATAATTATATAAATACATCCTCTAATGTAAGAAACCCGTATTTACTTGGGGTGTATAATTAAGACATATCTTGTTTATTTAAGGCATCTGCCTGGTCATTAAGAATACCCAAACCGTGCAATCCTGTTAGGTCGCCGTCCTCCCTCCTCCAGGATACAACGGGAGGAAGAGTTCACGCGGGAAAGTCGAGAGGGAGGAAAAGTGTCCCTCGAGTGAAGGCTGCAGCTGTGGCTTCTAGCTCAGCACGGGGCAGCCCGGAGCGCGGCAGACCCCGGGTTCGGAGCGACGCGCAGTCCGCCAGGAGGAGCTCCGAGTGTCAGTGGAGGCGAGGGGGCCGGGAGGCTTCAATGCCAGGTACTTTGTTCTGAGCAAGTCATTTAGGTCCCAGCTAATGGATACCATTAAGAGTTCATTATCATGCTAATAGCAATCAACACGGTGACGCGGTGGGAACCTCCGCCCTTTCAGGGTCCCTGAGGCACCCACCCTCCCCCCCCCCCGCCCCTCCGCTCAGACCTGGGACAATGGCATCTGCTTCGGGTAGGACACCGAGCTGGCCGTGCCGGACCGCCAAGTCAGGCCGGTGCTGACGTCACTGTAAAGCGAGCCCCCGCCGCCCCCGGGTCCCGCGCCGCCTCCGGGCCCTGAGCCCCCCGCGCTCCCCGCGCCGCCCTTGCTGGCCCAGCAGCAGCGCGTGCACAGCGCGCGCCAGGACTCCAGCGTCTTGCCCGACCACACCCACACGCCCGAGGTGATGCCCACCACCAGGCACATGAAGTACTTCAGCATGAAGACCGCGTAGTCCGGCCGGCGCGCCTGATCCGGCTGCAGGTCTCGCAGGCAGGGGCAGTTGTGCGCCGCCTCCCAGCGCGCGCGGTTGTGTTGCTCGTAGAAGAGGCAGGCGACCACGACGGCGGCGGGCACAGTGTAGAGCACAGTAAAGAGCCCCAGGCGGATCATGAGCTTTTCCAGCTTGTGCGTCTTGGTGGGGCCGCCCTGCTGCTTAATGACCGAGCGGATGCGGAAGAGCGACACGAAGCCGGCCAGCAGGAACATGGTGCCGATGAAGAGGTAGATGACCAGCGGCGCCAGCACGAAGCCCCGCAGGTTGTCCAGGCTCTGGTTGCCCACGTAGCAGATGCCGGCCACCGGGTCGCCGTCCACCGAGCTGAGCGCCAGCACGGCGATGGACTTGACGCTGGGCACCAGCCAGGCGGCCAGGTGGAAGTACTGCGAATACCCAGCGATGGCCTCGTTGCCCCACTTCATGCCGGCTGCCAGGAACCAGGTGAGCGACAAGATGACCCACCAGATGGAGCTGGCCATGCCGAAGAAGTACACTAGCAGGAAGACCACAGTGCACAGCGCGGGGCCGGTGGTCTCATAGCGCACGTGCTGCCCCACGGCGCCCAGCTCCTCGTATTCGCCGCGCGCGCCCGCGGCCCCC